TTTGTAGTAGTATTTTAAAGCCCGACGATGATCACTAATCAGCGTAGAAATTGGTCGGAGTTGAACTAGTTTTGAAATGTTATGGTTCTTGCCCTAGTTCATCTGTAAAACCGTCCCTTGTATATATATTTTTCCTTTTTTTAAAGCTCTATCTCATATTTTCTTAGGTCTTCTTTAAATGCCCATCCCACAAACCTTATTTTAATTTTTATTTTATTTTATTTATTTTAAATATTTTTTAGATCACCAATTCAGATTGATTTAAACTCAATCTAGATCGCTGATCCAGTGGTCCAATACAGATCTATGGATGAATGATCTGCACAACTGATCCAAGCAATGTATAGAAAAATAACTAGGGCATGGTACTCGAAGCATGTTACTCATACGAGGCAGAGTAACCCATAGAAATCAAACACAATGGGAAAAAAATAAAATAAAATAAAAAATATACAACTTGCCCCTTTCTTTCAACAAAGGAGTTTTGGTCAATGCTCGGTTAATAACGCAGTGTACATCATGTTATACTCTGATACCACTTGTTGTGTATGGAAGCTCTAAATCCAATGGGTTGATTTTTAGCAAATAAAGTATGAAATACATACAACAAGAACATAAAGATTTACATGGTTCACCTCAAGAGGATTATATCTACGGGGCACGGCAAACAAAAATCCACTATATCAATAAAAATTACATAAAAGTTTTTGGAACAAATGAGTCTCTTTCTTTTATGGGCCTCAACACCATGGCCAAGAAAAACCACCGTCAGTTTATAGCTGGAAAATGCTCGGTCTTGAACACATTGGACCCGGAGATAGTTGCAGTGGCCTTGAACCTGCCTAGGAGCCCCGTTCAAGGGCTTTTGTCATCACAGGGAGATGCAATAATTCTGCCATGTAAATATTGTGCAGATGAGGAGGAGGAGGAGAGGAGATGCAAAATACCCTCTTCTATAATGTTTTTTAGGGGCATCTTACTTAAATAATATAGATGTTGCAACCATATAGGAATGTTTTCCTTAAATAAATGGAAACTCTTGGGTGCAAATTTAGTTGGAATCATGTTATCTCTGGACCAGGGAATAACTTTCCATGCTCATTAACTCTAAACCAAGTGTGGTACGGCTCTTTCTCATTTGGCCCATATTTGCAAAAACTGTATGCACTCAAGAATTACTTCGAAAAAACAATTGTATACACTTAAGATTTATGGAGTGGGTTAGCTGTTTAAGCTCAAAGTTCACATGAAAATTTCTTGAAAAGTTCTGATGTATTAGTTCAATATGTAACAGCTAAAAGTGATTATACTCTCCTACAACTTACGGTAGATAGTCTTATAAGAAAATGAAAAAAGTTTATATAAGGTTGCAATCTTAAAATATAGAATTACAGATGCATCTCAAAATCCATCGGAAAAAATTGTTTGAATATTGAAAAACCTTCTAATTCATCATCTAGACAACGAGATGTATGAATATGAACAAAGAATGAAGAAAATTTTGAGTATAAAAAATAATGCATCTTGCAACACATTATCAAGACCGGCTATTTTCAAGATTTTTCATATATTTATAGATCTACTTGAATTTTTTTTTTTTTGAAATTTAAAATTTTATAATTAGATATGAAAATAGATTTTGGGATAATCCTAAGAATTTTTTATACAAAAATTATATGTTATGATAAAATTTGGAGGTGAGCATTAATTGGATTGTTTAAGGTTGCAACCTTATAGAAATCACACCCTAAGAAAATTATGCATAACAAAGGTTCAAACGTTTGTGTCTTTTAGCATAAATGTTGTCTATGTAAGTGGCGGCGTGCAAATCGGGCATGGTCAATTTGGCCAATTACCAGGATGACATGAACTAGATTTAAACCTGTCGGAAACCATCTGAACCTATCAAGTGTTGCGCGAAAGCTCTAAACTTGATGAGTTGATTTTTGACAAATAAAGTATTAGAAAAAAGAACCGACAAAACAAGCAAATAAAGCAAGAAAAAATAAGTATAGAGAACACAAAGATTTACGTGGTTCACCTCAAAAGGGCTATATTCACGGCAAACTGAAATCCACTATACCAATGAAAGTTATATCAAAGATTTCGGCAAACTGAAATCTACTATATCAATGAAAGTTACACCAAAATCATGAAAGTTACATCAAAGATTTTTGGACATAGAGTTACCTCTCTAATGCTCGACAAAACCCAATTGATCAAACCCTTTTAGAACCGCTCTCCCAAATGGTAGCATTGCCAATCTCTCATCTCTATTCCATAACTAGATCATGGTCTAGGAAGAGACAATAACTAGACCACTCTGTCTAAGAAGCTCTCTTCTTTTTAAGAAGAGACCCTACATCTTATGCATAGGAGGCTTCTGCCCCCCTCTTTCTCTACAGGAAACTACATTTTCTGTATGGTGACCTAGATAGGGCATACATATTCTTTCATCTTTCATCCAATATATATAAAGTTAGAAATCCTGACTAAGTAGGAAACTTCCTATAGATATTACATATATCTAAAAAAACCAATAGATATATCCAAGAGTTCTAATCTTTTTGGGTTTCTATTCCTTTAGGAAACTTATCAATATCAATCCAAATACCACATAATATGAGATTTCCTTATATGAGTGATTTTGAATATCACTACATCTAACATCAAGTGGACCTGTCAGAGTGACCCAAATCTGAACTTGCCAAGGGCATCGGGCCAGAGTGGCTCAGATCTCAACCTGTCAAGTGGACTAGGTCAGAGTGACCCAGATCTGGATCTGCCATGCGGACTGAATCAGAGTAGGACCTCTACCCATTTACATCATTTTCCATATTTTGGTGGAAAAAGTTCAAACTCTGGAAGCCCTAAAAATAATGAAGAAGCTCATCATTGGTTCTCTAGAAGAAAAATTATTAAAAATTCCAAGTAGAGATAGAAGATAGGGGTGTGAAAGAGATAAAAGAGTAACAGGAAAGAGATATGATTGGGGGTAAAAATGACTCAGTATAAATTTTTCACGTATTAATTATATGGTCTTTGTTCCAAAAAGCAGATAAAAGTGGAATTACGGGAAGATTTCTCTCCCTATTTAGGCATCAATAATTGGACATGCTTCATTCACAGGAATAATATCATGATAATTAGTTTTCAAGTGCCCAAACTAGGCCTTAAACACTCACGATGAATAAATGCATGGCTTATACAGAACATGTCCAAGAAAGCACTACCTCAACAAAATACTCTAAGCAACAAGTTTGCTCTATTCAATCTCTAAGCACAAAAAAGTTCATAGCATTAGGGATTGTTTAGAAGTATTCACTATCACTCTTATTTCACTATTTCAATAAAGTTAATCATGATAATTAATTATTTATTGTTTGGTGGTCTCCATCATAAAATTATTTGAGATAAACTAATAGGAAGTTCTACATATAAGTTACATATAAGTTTCACTTTTTGAAAAGAATTTTTTTTAAAATTAAAAGTTCGTACCTAGAAATAGTTAAAAATAGTTGAAAATTGTTGTAAAATAAATAATTAAAGGGTGGTGTTTGTATAGAGCCGAGGCTCTAAACAATCAAAGTAAAGCCCACCTTCAAACAATGACGAGAATGTAGTTTCAATACCGGAAATCTTTGTAATAGTCTTAAAATATATTTTCATTTTTAATTATAAAATTTAAAGTTTAAAAATTAATGTATATTGAGCAGATCTATGAAATCTTGAAAACCTCTAAAAATACATTACAAGATGCACTATTTCCAAAACTGGAAATCTATTTTTTTCTCATTTCCATACATCTTGATGCCAAGATAATCAATTTGAGGATATTTGGGTATCAAAACAACCTCTTCTAATGAAATTTTTTAGGTGGGCTCTAATTTGATTGTTTAGAACCTCGACTCTATATAAATGTTTTTTATAATTAAATAATATTATATATTATACAAGATACATAGCAAACTGCTAACAAATCATTTTTCTGTAGAGTATATTAAATTTAAATAACATAGTCTACTCCTACTAAAATTTATTATCATGCAAACAAGCCCTTACAATGTAGGGTAAAATGTCTCCCATACCCTATCAATAAACCGAGAGAGAGATAGAGAGAGAGCCTTTTTATATATAATATATTTTATATAAGTTAATCTCATAATTTTTTAGATCCTCTCTAAATGCGTACCCCATAAAATTTTATTTTCATTAATTTATATTATTTATTTTTTAATATTTTTTAAATCCCCAATTCAGGTTGATTATGATTTGATGAAGATTTCCAACATGAATATGTGGGTGAATGATCCCAGGCGAGTTACTAAGTGAGTAAAAAAAAGACTCTTGAATATCCAACCCAAGGTGAAAAAAGAGACTATATAATAGATAACCTACTCCTTTCTTTCAACAAGACGGAGTTTTAGTTAAGTTTGCTGCCCTTTTTCTTTGATAAAAAAGTTTGCTTCCATCCCATTATGCAACATTGTTGCCCATAAAAAGAGGGTTGGGTTCATGGAAAGTGTACATCAAAATCAGGCAAAACCCACCTCGCTTGTAGGAAACGCAAATTATCTCGGCCGAGTCTTGCTACACTGGATCCGAGTTCTGAAACACTGATTTGCAACTAGGATCACGCCTTTGATTTAATATGAATAGGCTTGAAGTCCCGACCCGACAAGGCTGTACCCGGCCCATTTACACCATAATCGAACTTTCTATCACCTTCCAACCAGAAGATTCAACGTGATCAGCCTTGCCACCGTACTGTGGTCACAGCCACGTGAATCATAGTCACTAGAGAGTATACTTTTGACTAAAATGGAGCCACATCAAAAGCAATCTCTAACAACAAATGGCTTGATCCATGAGAAATAAATTCGTTGTGATCAACTTTCACGCAGACAGAGGCCACGTGCCACCGATGCGTGCCACGTGTCCCTTCTCATGTAAATGTGGCACCCCCTAACTCAAGTATAAAAATGAAACCCATGCGCCTCGTCTTTTCACTCCAGCTCTGAAAAAAGAAAGTTGAGAGAGAAAACATGCATTCTACTTTCTCTCTACTCTCTAGCCTTGTTGTTTGCTTGCTATTAGCTCTGCCAACTGATGGGTATGATCCTCTCATCACAAGGGATAACAGGAAGCCCATTGTTTCTACAGAGTTTGGTAGGGTTGAATCAGTTGAGGTTTATGATGGTTCAGAGAAAGAGCCTCTTAATCTTCAGTTTTTCACTCTTGAACCCAGTTCTCTTCTTCTTCCCCTTCTTGTGGAAGCAGACATGGTGTTCTTTGTGCAAACAGGTTTGTAACTCTCTCTGTCGCTCTCTCTCTCTCTCTGTATGCACGTAACATACAAAATTCTACCTCAAATCAAATTCTAGCTCAAATCTTTCTTCTTCTTTTTTAACAATAAACTTCTAGCTCAATCTTGCGGGTTCTCTCTTCCTCTAAGATCTAATCTGTGTGCGTGCATGTAATACACGCATAACCATTGTTGCATGAACTGGTCAACTCATTCAGTACTAGATTGATTCTTGGAAAAAGAAAAAAAAAAAATACAAACTAGTTTTTGAAAAATCAACCAGTGAACGGGCTGGTTCAACTCGACAAACCGGACAGGTCTAGACTGGTCCAAAAAGTGTTAAAAAAAAAAAAAATTAAAAATTACGAAAACAATCTAAAAAAATAAGAAATATATTTAAAGTATGATTAAACAAAGCATATCCGAATGAATTTGAAAATTGGTAAAAAAAAATTAAGTTGTGCCTGAGAGGTAATTTTTGAATTTTTTCTAAAAAGATGGAAAAATGTAAAAATATTCGTGGTTCAAAATGATTAAAAAATTCAAAAACATATTACAAACAAATATTTTTTTTGGGATGTTATTTAAATTTTTTTGAATTTTTTTTAAATACCCAAAACATATTACAAACGAATATTTTATTTTTTTGGGATATTATATACTTTTTTTTAAAAATTTTTTTTAAAATACCGGTCAGGACCACCCAAAACCGGATTGGCTAGTGCCTGGGTCCATTTTTGACCGGCTGGTGGACCGGCCGAGTTTGCGAATATTATAGTTTGTAGTATAAAATTTACAAATCCTCGAAAAAAACACATTATCAAAAAGCTTACAAATTCATAAACCTAAACTGGTTCTCGAAAAAAAAATAAAAAATATTGTAGAGTTGGGCATGTTCACGAGAACTATTGTGCTCATATACTTAGCTGGACTATAAAACCAAAGACTTTATAGACTATTGCGCACACACATTGATACTGACTCAATGGATGGGATTCCAGCACAAATCCGGGGCAATCTCAAGTAGACAAAATGGTTAATATTTTTTCGATAGGCCAATTTTATACATGTAAAAGCTTATATGCTCCGGCGGAAGCCTTGAGGTATTCTGTGAAACACCTAGCTAGGAGTTTTTTTAGGACCCCAAAATTTAGGGATGTAATCTTCTCAACGAACTAATTGTCATATGATTGTAGTCCAATTTCTTAATAGCCAAGTGTTGAAATTCAAACATGTTAAATTTTTTTAATATCTGGTGTTAAATTCAAGCACTTCAGTTGTTGATGGTCATAAATTTTTTTTTTTTTGGGTAATTTAGTGGGGGAAGACATGGTCTATCTATTTTTTCAATTAGTTTAGGAGTTAATTTTTTTGAAAGCGTTAATGGGATGGTGTCAGTTGGAATGGAAATCTCAATGGGGTGAATAGGGTGTTGAGGTGCTATCACCATGACCCAAGTCCCTTTCCCATTGATGGTCATACCTCATTGCCGAGAATTAAAGATTTCAAACTATTTTTTCTTCTTGAGCTATTTTTAATATTAAGATAATGATTTTAGAGTGAAGCCATAAATTCGTTATTTAGCAAATAAAAGAAATCCCCTGCAAGAGGCAGCAATTGCATAGTATGCTCCAGAAAGAACATACTTTAGTCTTTAATGCTTTTGGTTTGATTCACGTATTGGCAATCTCTGTGATTCGTGATTTCTCCCTACCCCTCATGCATAGGATTAGATTGAAGTCTATGGAATGTAGCTTTTCAATACTATGAGTTGGAATGTAGCACTCGTAGTGCAAAACGCTCCTATACATAGGTGCCAGGGGATAGGGGTGGGAAATGGGTTGGGTCCACTTGTCGGGTTAACTAATTGGGTCCATGATACACGCATGGACTTGATAGGTCAGATCTGCATCCACATGACTTTGACCTGACCCGGGTTGGGTCTTGGGCTATATACTCAGACTCGACCTGACCTAGTGGGTCAGGTCCGAGTCCAATTCACTTGGAGCTAACTTGGTCCCCGTCAAACTTAGACAAAGCCGGGTTAGGTCTAGAAGGGTTTGACCCAGACCTAAATACGACCCGATCCATCCTCATCCCCACGCACAAGCCATACCTGGACACGACCCAACCCATCCTCATTCCCACCCCTACTCCTGAGCATTCGCATGTGCATGTAAAAGGGGGCAAGTGAGGATGTGACTAAGTGTCTAGAAATTTATCTTCTTTTCAAGGAAGTCTTGAGAACAGCCTAGTTTCCTAACACTTTATACCTCAATTGGAGCAGAACTTTTGGAGTTCTATTGAAAAAAATGGGTGGGGGCATGTCTTTCCCATTGAATTACTAATATTAATAAAAAAAAAAAAAAAACAAAGCTTGCCATAGAAACTGATTTATCTTGCGAAGATATATACTCCTCTAAAATGACATCCCTCTATCTGGGCAAACCTTAGTTTTCATTGGTAAGAGCCATGGTTTGAAGGATGGAGACTCAACTTGACACTTATTCCGGGTCCTGTAACTCATCTGAGTCTTCGATGTATCAAGTAGAGTATAGTTTCTTTAAATTGACATTTTCTTTGCTTAAAAATCGTGTTGCCCGAGCTAAATCGAGTGACTTGGGCTCAAGAGCATGGTGAGTCCCAGCTGAAGTTGCATTTTTAAATACAGGAAAAACCTACACAAGAAACACACATAAGAAGGAAGTATGTTGGACTTTTACCTAGACTTGATACACAATTGCCCTAACTAAGATCTTGTATGTGGGTGTGGATATAGTGTGCACGCTTAGGTGAGTGAGTGTGTATGAGAGGGAGGGAGGTGCTTAACATGTCTTCCATAGAGTTTCGTGCACAAGACGTGTAGGTTGGTCGACTCATCAAGTTTCCATTGAAATAGGATCAACACAAGGAAATGAGATTGTATATAATGAGACCATTTACTTTTGGTACAATGAGACTTTTTACCTTTAGTACAATGAGATCATAATTATTTATAACCATTTGATGTGAAATCTGATATCTTGGATGTATCACAAAGTTGGAAATAAATTTTTTTTTTTTTTGAACTTAGTCAATGCAATAAATGTAGCCACTCAATTTCACAGGGTCAACATTAATAATGACAACCTTGTATTAAAGATAAATGATATTATTGTATACTTTTTTGAAAGAAATTTACATGACTAATGTTCTAGCCAACTTTTTTTTTTTTTTTTCTATTTAAATATTGTTAGAAGTGAGGATTGTACTCAAATAAATGGACAGGAAGTGGAAGGGTGAGTTGGGTGGAGAAGGGGGACATAACTCACATGGACATTGCTCGTGGAGATGTGTACAGACTCCGATCTGGTTCGGTGTTTTATGTTCAAAGCAAGACTACTGCCACTGGTGAGAAGCTTAGGCTAAATGCCCTATTTACCCGACGAGATTACGAAGACACTCTGGTAAGTTAAACATTAACCCTAGTACTTTGTCGGGAAACTATCATTGAAGTGGCCAAACAACCTCACAAGATCAAGGAGTTAAATCACTATGAGATCAACTAAAATAGCCTACCACAAAACTTAATTAAGATTGTTTTGCGGAAGTTTTATTTTTTTTTAAGAAATATTCAATATCTTTCTGTAGTTTTTTCAAACCCTGATGGGGTATTTTGGAAATTTGGTACATTGTGCAATTGGACTGAGTTATTGAAATGCTCCATCCGTTGCCTTGTTCCAAATTTGAGAAAACAAACAGGTGGTCTCAAAGCCGAAACAAGCAGGAAAGAAACAAACTTTAATGTAAAAACATGTTCTGGATCTGGAACAAGAAGGGTACACTTTCCTAGACCTTTCTATACCGAGGGGAGTATTTACGTTGTTTAGCTTGAACTATCAACCTTAATGAGACAAAAAAACATGTCTTGAGTTTGAACCAAGGATACTTGTATTGTTTGGCTTGACCTAGCAAAATAAATCAACTTGGTTACAAATCAAGGAGGATGCATACTTTTATTTTTAGGAAAGTAGTTGATGAGGTGGTGAAATATTTTCTTGACGTAATTTGAACATCTTATTGATTTTTAGATGTCGTTTTACCACTTTAATGCCATTTTTTTTTCTCTCTCCTCTTTATTATTATTATTGTTATTATTTATTTTAATTCTGTTTATTTGAGAATAGCTTCTCTAATTTTAAAGGCTAATAATAAAACTAAGTTATCTATTGGAATGGATCTATTGGATTCCAAATCTAGGAGGGCATATTAGGTAATTTAGTATGGGTGCGGTTTGTATAGAGCCGCGGCTCTAAACAATGAAAGCAAATCCTACTTTCAGATAGTATTGAGAAATGTAGTTTCAATACTGGAATCTTTGTGACAACTTTAAAATATGTTTTTATTTTTAATTATAAAATTTAAAGCTTAAAAAATAAAATAGCATAGATCAAGCAGATCTATAAAAACTTGGAAATCTTAAAAATTGACGGTTCAAAAATGTGTTATGAGATGAACCATTTTTTAAAACTTGAAATGCATTTTTTTTTCATTTTCATGCATCTTGAGGTCGAGATGATCAATTTGAGGATATTTGAGCATAAAAACAACTTATTATAGTGAAATTTTTGAGGTGGGCTTTAATTGGATTGTTTAGACTTTAGAGGATTTTCATTTGAACACTTGTATTTTATTATTTTTTTGTGATGATTTGACCATTTTGATGATGTTTTCTCTTTTCTCTTTTTTTTGCCTCTTTTGTGGATTTTGTTCATTTGAAATTAGTCTCTTAAGCAAAGGTTTACAAGTAAGTTTTTCATGGAATGCAGGATGAATTCATAGGCACTTATGCAAATCTCAGTGATGTGGTCTTGGGGTTTGATAACAAAGTCCTTCAAGCCTCTTTCAAGGTATGTAACCAGACATTGGCACTTAGCCATCATAGTACTCATGACCATGGATATTCTTTTACATTTCGACAATCATATGGATTATGATATCCGTAATTCTGTATACATGATAAACACCTGGATTTTTTATGATCATATATAAAAAAGGTACACTATTTTTATTATGTAAATTGCCAAGGAAAATCAACGCTGCATGTATACCAAGGGTAAAACATGAAACTCATTCCTGTAACTTTTGCCCTTTTTGACTCTTCTTCTATGGCAAAAGAATGTCACTACCCCAGTCGTAGGTAGACGTGAGGTTGGCCCGGTCCCAACTTTTTTGGGCAGGCCGCCATACTATGGATTTGGGTCGGGCTCGAAATTTGGTTTTTGGGCTGGGTCTATCACACACTTTTAGACTAGGGCCATGGCTGGCCTGGCCCATTCTTAGCCTCAGCTAAGGGTGGCAGTCTTTTGTACCGAATGTAAATGGTTTTATTGCCTATTTTTTCCCAGTTTCCCATTATAAGACACTCCCTCACATTCTTAGGTGGGTGTAGATGTCATACGGATGCATCGTAGCTATAGAGGTAAGGTAAGGTGTACCTTCAAATTTTATGATGGTATATAATTTTGATGTAAAATGTTTTTAAGATTATCTGAAAATTTATTTTTATATCTAATTATAAAATTTTAAATTTAAAAAATGGTTAAAATCAAATAGATCTATAAAAAAATGAAAATTTTGAAAATAGACGGTGTAGATAATATATTGTAAAATGCAGTATTTTTGAGATTTAAATTTTTTTTATTTTTGATGGTCATACATACACCTCGATGTCGAGGTGATCAATCAAAAGGTTTTTCAACATTAAGACTATCTTTTCTGATTTTTATTGGTTCTACGTTATAAGGTTGCATCCTTGTATAAACTTTTTCCTTTTTATATTACCTACCCAGTACTATAAGAAGTTCTCCACTCTATAGTAGGTCTCCACTCCACTATATGAATGTGAAAAAAAGTAATAAACTTGTAGTATTCAAGATGCATATAATTTTTGGTTTTTTGCCAGATTTCGGAGGAGTTGATCAAAGAGATCAAGAGTAGAAAAAAACCCCAAATGATTGTTCCTGCCGTATTGAAGGAAAAGACTGAAGAAGACTCCAATTGGAAACTAGGGATTTTAGAAGCATTGGTTGGAGGGGGTTCACATGAGGAGAGAAGCAATAAGAAAAGGAAGCCATTCAATGTGTATAAGAAGGAGCCTGATTTCAAGAATCCCAATGGTTGGACCTTGACTGTGACCCGTAAGGATTTCCCTCCACTCAAGGGAACAAATGTTGGTGTGTTCATGGTTAACTTGACCAAGGTTGGCTCTCTCTCTCTCTCTTTTTTTATTTTATTTTTTTATATATATATATATATATATATATATATATATTTCGCCATTTATACGAGAATATAATCATTTCTCGCTATAAGGGGTAACGTGTGACAGATATGCTTGAAATAGAAAAGGTATTTAGCTAATAACACACAGGATTGCCACTCCTCCCTCCCTCTCTTTCTCTCTCTAAACTCCCTCTCTCTCTCTCTACCCAGGGATCCATGGTGGGGCCTCACTGGAATCCAAGAGCAACTGAGATAGCCATCGTTACCCACGGCCAAGGCATGGTGAATATTGTATGCCCCTCCAAAAAGTCACAGTGCCCAAGAACCAGTTTCAAAGTGAAAGAAGGGGATATATTCATGGTGCCCAAGTTCCACCCCATGTCTCAGATGTCATTTTCCAATGAGTCTCTCTCTTTCATGGGCTTCACCACCATGGCCAAGAAGAACCACCCTCAGTTCATAGCCGGGAAACTCTCGGTCTTGAACACATTGGACCCGGACATCGTTGCAGAGGCCTTGAACTTGCCCAAGAGCTCTGTTCAGGAGCTTTTGTCATGTCAGAGAGATGCAATAATTCTGCCATGTACATATTGTGCAGAGGAGGAGGAGAGGGCTATGGAGGAGGAGGTTAGAAAAAGAGAGGAAGAGGAGAGGGAGGCGGCAGCGGCAGCCGCTAGAAAGAGAGAGGAAGAGCGGAAGGAGAGAGAAAGGAGGGAGGAGGCTAGGAGGAGAGAGGAGGAAGAGGTTAGGGAGAGGGAGAGGCAAGAAGAAGAGGAGGCTAGACAGAGAGAGGAGGAAGCGGCTCGAGAAAGAGAGCGGCAGGAAGAGGAAGAGGCTAAACAGAAAGAGGAGGAAGCGGTTAGAGAGAGAGAGCGGCAGGAAGAGGAGGGCAGGCAGAGAGAGGACGAAGAGGCTAGACAGAGAGAGAGAGAAAAAGAGGATGCCAGGAAAAGAGAAGAGGAGGCAGCAAGAGAGAGAGAGAGGCAGGAAGAGGAAGTAAGGCAGACAGAGGAAGAACAAAGGGAGAGAGCGGCCATGAGAGAGGAGGAAGGGGGAAGGCCACATATGATTCTCAGAAGCTTTTAAGGTGAAGTCAGAGCAGAGATAAGATGATGCATGCAGTTGTGTGTGTGTGTGTGAGAGAGAGAGAGAGAGAGAGGGAGGGATAGATAGATGCAATAAGACCAGTATTGTAATTATTGAGTTTGTGAATGTGTTTTAGGGTTTTTCCTTTTGGTTAAATTAAAATATGGTTTTTCATGTTGCAAAATATGGGTTTCTTGTTGCAATCTGTTTATATTCTTGTTCGAAGGTGTCCAATTCATTCACCATCAGGTCTACCATTATCATGTAGAAAAGAGAGTAAATCCTCTGGAGAGAGAGAGGGAGAGAAAGGGTCAATAAGATCAGCAGAATAATTGGAGTAGGTGGGGTTGCCATTGTAATTTGAATGTTTTTGACGTATTTGTTTTTGTGCTCAATGAAAACATGGTTTTTCTTGCTGCAAAACATGGTTTTCTTGTTGCAATAAGTCACTCTGTCAAAAACAAGAGTAAATCCTGTGTTACTGAGATGGACGTCGGAGATGATCTACTGCTATATGCACCATTCGTTGTTTACAGCAACGAGTCACTCTTTTTTGAACACACCAACTTTAAGGTCGACCGGATCGAGTCCAGTGTTGACAGCGGTTCAATTCGGGGTGGGTCCAAATATTGGCAAGGAGATCCCAACAATTCTTCTCATGCTTTTCATATTCATATCCCCTAGCGCTCCGCATGAATATGAGGATTTTAACTTTCTATTTTATTTTCATACTTTTTTTTGTACCTTAAGTTTGGTATTTGGACTGTATCGTATGAAATCACTATTTAATATTACTACTAACCCAATTAGTATGGGTCGCAAGTAAGTGGAAATTAAAAATAAAAGAACAAATTATGATATATTATTACTAGAAAAATAGTGTGGTTTGAAGGTAACGATCATCTCCCCTGCATATATGTATGAAGGTTAACACCAGTATTTTAAAACCTCACAATTTTCAATTCGGAACGCTATATGGATGAGATTTTGTCAAGACTGAACTGGTCCTAGGATGTATGGGTCCTAGATAAACCCCTAATATATTTTCGTTCTTTTTAAAGCTTAATTAACCATGGTGCTTTCTTATTTGCTATGGGGGAAAGTATTTGGTGACTCGGGATAAAAATAAATGGTGCAAACAAAATTAAAAACTATCAATTTTAAAATTTCAAAGTTTATTTTGAGAAATTTAATTAGACAACTATGAGAGATGTACTATTTGAGAATGAAAAAAGTTTATATAAGGTTGCAAACTTTAGAATATAGAATTAAAGATGCACATCAAAAATCCATCATAAAAGGTTGTTTGGATGTTGGAAAATCCTCTAATGAATCGTCTGGACATTTGGATGTATGAATATGAAAAGAAAAAAAAGACTGTGTCCGTGACATAGTGTATTTTATAATACATTATTTGGGATGTCCATTTACAATATTTTTGTATGTTTATAGATCTATTTCATTCAAACCATTTTTAAAGTTAAAAATTTTATAATAAAAGGGAAAAATAGATTCTCAAGCCTTCCTTAAAAATTTTTATATTATTTGTGATAAAATTTAGAAGTGTGATTTAATTGGATTATTTAAGAATGCAACCTTTTGCACACCACATGCATTAAGCATTTACACATGGGATTGTATATTGTGAGATTATTTATCTTTGATATTAGGAGTTCATAATTTACTAATTGCCATCAGATATCAAATTAGATGGCATGAGGTGTGACACAAAGTTTAATATTCATTTTGTTTAAACAACAAAGTCATTTTAACCCATGTTTTCAAAACCTGATGGGAACATGTATCTGTTCAGCAAAAATTGTATTGGACTAGCTTGTGCCGGTCCATCATAAAAATGTGATGGATTAGCACAAGTTGAATAAAAAGCCGGTCCAACACAAAAAATATGCTGAACATCTCTATATTCTTGTTCTATTGATTTGGAACATTTTGTATTGGACCGGCATAGGGAGAAAAAGTGGAAACATGGCCAAAGAGAGGTGTTTTTTTTTTTTGTATTAAAAGAAAAAAAAATTCAACTTTTGTAATTGAGGAAGCGCTTGTATTGCAAAAAAAAAAGTGTTGGAATTAATAGTGTAGCATTAAAATTTATGGGATGGACATGTCACGAAAATAAAAAAAGGCCTTAATTCTATTGAGATAGTGGGCACATTCCCAACTCTAGGAAAAGAGAGATAAAATGTGAACTAAATTAGACAGAGGGGGTACGTACAATAGAGAGAGAGATTTTCATATGATATTTGGGAAAAGTTTCTATACTTCCCTTACAGCATAAAAGATCCATGCTTCCCCTACCATCCAGCCGCCAATTTTGATCAAGAGAGTCGCTCACCGTTTGATCTTAGATCTGACGTCTCAAAGTATTTTATTTTTAGTTTTTTTTTATACAAATTATATGAATATAAAATTTGGTACGTGCTATCTTCTCATTAGGGCGCACTTATAAAAAATATTAAAAATAATTTTTCGATAAACTATAATGACCAAAATACCCCTTGAAATTATCAAGGGTATTTTGGTCATTTTAGTTTATTGGAAATATTTTTTATATATTTTTCACTAGTGCGAGTTTAATAGAGGATTGGACATACAAAATTTGGTGTTAAAATAGTTTATAAAAAAAATTAAAAATAAAATAGTGTAGAGACATGCATTGTGATTGGGATAATCTTTGCCCTCCATTCAGAATGGAGGTTAGATAAGTATGTAAGTTTTATGTTGTAGGGGAAGCATAGAAAGCATGTCCATGGTATTTATCTCAACATTGTTTCTATATCTCAATTAGAGAGAGTACACAATAAAGAGAGAGAGAGAGAGAGATTTCCATATCGATGCTTATCACAATATTGTTTTTCCATCTTATTTTGAGAGAGAGAAATTATGTTGGCAAATCGGTTATGTTAATGTAAAAAAAAAGAAAGAAATTATGTTAGTAAATCGGGGTAACCCAAATCCCTACTATATGCGGTGAATACCTCACAACAATGATTCCAATACCCCAAACAAAATATAGAAACAAGAAACAAGAAAAACAAGTAATATGGAAAATTACCAAACCACAACAAGCAAAAGTAGAAGACACATGAATTTACATGGTTCATCTAAAATGGGCTATATCCATGGGCAAAGAGCACGAATGCATTCACTATCAATCGAATAAATTTACAAGTTTGGGGTTTTGTAGATATTACTTTATACAATTTCAAAGAATGCTCAAATAAAAATTTATTACTGCAATACTATGATCAATCGACTCCTCTTTTCGTCACCTACGACCAAGACTGTCACCGTGAAAAAATGCCGATGAAAAGTCGGCCCAAAACAAGATCACAATGGTGCTAAGATTTATGCAAAAACCCCAAATTTCAATCTCCATAACTTCTCTACAGTTTTTCGTTTTGTTTTCTCTTTCCAAAAATGCCTTTTATCGGTCTCCATAAAAAACCCATTTTTTGTGACGAAAATACCAAATCTCCCTAACTTCTCTACACTTAAAAGCCTTTTATGGGCCTCCATGAAAGGTTTATTTTTTTTGTTACAAAAATACCCCTAATAAAAAAGAGAATGGAATAATTTTGGCATCACATCCCAACCGATTGTTTGGTACATACAAGAGAGAGATTTCATAGAAATCCTTATCTCAATATTGTTTTCGTATCTTAATTTGAGAGAGAGTGAGAGATAGAGCCATGCCGGGATAGAGTAGAGGGACATATGGTCGTGGATCGGGGAAGGGATATATTTCATTGGGGATATATTTCCTTCTTTTACGAAAATTTTCGTTTTGCCTATCTAATTATCCTTTCATTTAAATATCTTTCTTTTTTATTCACTATCTCTCTTTGAAAACATGCATATTTCTTTTAAGGGTGTGGTTTGTATAGGGCTGAGCCCCCAATCAATCAAAGTAAGGCACACCCTTTAAATAGTGTCGGAATATATTTTTGGATATTGGAAATCTTTGCGATGGATTAAAACTTTATTTTTATATCTAATTATAAAATTTAAAATAGTGTAGATCAAGCATATCTATGAACATTTGAAAATTCTTAAAAATTCACGGTTTAGAAATACGTTACACGATGGACTAATTTCATGACTTGAAATCCCTTTGTTCTATGTCCATGCATCTTGAGGTCGAGATGATTGATTTAAGGATTTTTTGGCATTCAAATAACCTTTTCTAGTGGATTGTTGATGTCTGCCTTAATTTAAATGTGTAGGGTCTCGCCCTTATATAAACTTTTTCCTTCTTTTAAACTTAGAGGGAGAAATTAACGTCCCTATCTCTTCCTATAGTCTCGCCCAAATCTCTTTGCTTTCCCTTCTAAATCAAATCATGCTTAAACCCCCCATATTCTTCCAATGCTTAAACCCCTCTAAATACTCTTTAAGATCATCTTCTTTGGATGACACTTTTGTTCTTAATCTACATTATTTTCAGAAATTTCTTAAAGAGAACTATTTTTTTACTTTTTACTAATATACAATCATTTTTAGTAATTAAAATTTTGAAAACTAATAAAAAATTAACTTGTGTTTTCATTTTTTTTAAATTATTTCCTTCAATGTTTTCATATTTTTATTAATATAATTTTGATAGTATTTCATGGATAATATGGTAAAATAGCCTGACATGTATTTGCATCTTAATAATTAAAATAAAGAAAAAGTTTATATAAGGTTGCAACCTTAAAATGTACAATTAAGGTTGCACTTCAAAATCCATTAGAAAATGTTGTTTTAATGTTGAAAATCTTATAATTGAAAATCTCCACCTCGAGATGTAATGATTATATATATTTTAAAAAAATAAGAATTCGGGTCCCAAAAATAGTGCACTTGCAACACATTATCTAAACAGTCTGTTTTCAAGATTTTCATATGTTTATATATCTACTTAAAATGAACTATTTTTTTAGTTTAAAATTTTATAATTAGAGTTGGAAATAGATTTTTATAAATTCCTAAGAATTTTTTACACTAAATTTACATCTTACGATAAATTTTGAAGACCCTCCTCAATTGGATTGTTTTAAGGTTGCAACTTTATGCCAACCACACCCTTAAAATAACATATACAATATGTTTAGTGGCAATTTTTCCCTTGAAAATCCCATGTTACTCGAAATTATTGAAGTGCCTTACGGAGTTACTTAGATAGACAGAGTGCTAGATAAAACACCATTTATGCGACTCAGATGTTAGGGATAACCCAGAAAGTACATTAAGAGACTGGGGAATGAATAACTTCCACAATTTTCCCTTTTTTTTTTTAATTGCATCATTCTAATGTAAAAGTTTCTTTTAGAGTAGTACTCATTTATCCTTTTTCCCAACGATTTTTGTCAAAGTATATTTCTTTTCATGATTATTGGCACGAGATCTCATAGAAAAGTTATAACAGTATGAGACCCTCACAAAGGATCACCATTAAATTTTGACATAGATCTCTAAAAAAGTTATAACATGGGTGTGGGAGTTAGGTGAATGAGTTTATTGATAACTTTTTTAGAGATCTGTATAAAAATTTAATGGTGATCTTTTGGGGTCCTACTCACATGGGTGTGGGAGTGTCTCATAGTATCATTACTCTATTTTAATAACTGTTGTGCGTTAACTAATTCCAGTTAAGCATTTTTTCCCGATAATAAAAGTTGATATTTTTATTTTCTTAATGTAATATGAAAAGTTGATATTTTCATTTTCCCAATAGTGAAAATGATAATTTCATTTTCTTAGTGAAAAAAAAAGTTTTAAATTTTTTCCCGATTAAGAAAAGTTAGCACTACCAGTATTTTAGTAGTGCCTAGAAAAGTACTAATTGAGGGTATCCCAAGTCAAAAAGATTTCATTGATACGTCTTTCAATGACTTAAGGCATTTGAGATTTTGTTAAGATTTTAACTTTTAAAATACAAAATTTTAATTGCTAACACGAGATTTCGAAAATAGTATTTCATTATTATTTTTAAATCATATGGATTTCATTGATACAACTTTCAATGACTCAGGGCATACGAGATTTTGTTAAGATTGTCTATTTTAAATACAGTTTTAGTTTAGAACCCAAGATTTAAAAAGTAGTATTTAATTTGAGCAGCTATACGTGTCCACTGTCCGAGCTGTGATTAGTTGTTTGCTTTATTTTTTTCATTTTAATTATTTATTTTATTATTATTATTATTTTTTAACAAGGTTACAAAAGAATAGAACTTGAGATATAGTGCTATGAAAATCCAACTACCGGCGCATTGAATTCAATTAGTTATGGTTGTGCAGCTCAAAAACACGGATTGAATTCGATTAGTTATGCTTGCACAGCTAAAAAACACAACAAAATATATTGTTCTGATGCTGCAAAACCCTCGAATCGTTCATCTTGACCTCATACATATGGATATGGAAAAGGTCGATTTCAAGCTTCGAAAATAATGCATCTTGTAGTTCAATATCTGGATCGCCCATTTTCAAGATTTTGAAGTGTTTATAGATCTATTTGATTTGCACCATTTTTAAAGCTTTAAATTTCACAATTTAGGACAAAAACAATTTTTAGGCCATCGCAAAAGTATTTTGGCACCAAAACTAAATCTTTTAGCTTAATTTAGATGCAAGCCTTACTTGGATTGTTTGGAGTTGACGACTCAAATCGCAACCCCTAATTTATTAATATATTTTTTGGTTTTTTTTTACTTTATTAACGATGGAAATGAAGGGTGGGATGCTATATTGAGGCATCATCCCCCCTAACCACCGATGCCTAAACTCTATTGTTTCTTTTTTGGGTAAATAAAAATTTGTTTCGTTTTCTTTTTGGGTAAACAAGAAATGGAAAAAATTCATATAAGAGTGAGGCTCTAACGATCAATTTAGGGCACACCTCAAACAATCAACAACAGTACAAAAACATAGATGGGTTTACTTCAAACATAGATTTACTACAATGACACTGCTAATAAAAACACCACATGATAAGAGGACGGACATGGTTGAAAATCACCATATTTACAACTACAGAATGCCTTTGTTACTACTAACACACAAACCCAATTACATGCAAACGCAATGGCATTCTGACCATCCAACATGGTTCAGGATCATGATCACACGGCTGCCTCGAGAGAAGTCGTAATGAAAGCCAAGTGAGTCTCTGGAAAGAAATGGCAAACAGGTTCAGTGCCTGGCTTGATGCCAAGCACCTTGAAAGAAACATGGTCGGGGTCCCAGTCAGAAGTGTCCAAGTGACAAACTGCTGCGGCATCCATTTTGCTTCCATCCTCACCTTCTAGCTTCACCATCAAGGCCGTGGTTTTAACCACGACATGGCAATGAAACACAGTATACGGGTAAGTCATTGGATGACAAACTGGCAGATATGGTGGTGTTAATCGAAGCATAATCTCTTTCACAATGTAAGATTGCACAAGGGGAGGACGATTCTCTCCGTTGTGCAAGGTAGTTGCCAACACTTGGGGTTTAGCTTTAGGCCCCAAGATCGATAAGACAAAGTCATGCAGGGACTCGAGGCTTGTGGCACAAAACTTGCGTTCGCCCATTAATGGGGGAGACTCACATATGTGAAGGTTCCTTGCTACTTTCTTAGCTAGGGGTGAGTCCGGAGGGATCGAGAAGCGACGCAAGATATCAGGGAGTGAAGCAGATGCAAAGGGAATGGAGTCGGCTTCTTGGCGTGGTAGAGGGGAGGTGGCTGCCAAGGTTTTATCAACCATATTGTAGAGGTCAAGTTTGTTTCCAACCTTGAGATCCTTCATGTGGAAGAAAACATTTTCGGGTCCTGGAGCACGATCATGGCTGGTTATATGAGAATGTGAGTCCATTTCTTTGACACTGCTTTCAGGTTCAAAATCCTTTGTGGATGCTGTTTGAGATGAGCTTAAGGGATGGTGAGATATAGTGTTGCTATCTTCATCTTTTTTTGCATAATTCTGGTACCAGATAACATTTTTAGGATCAAAGCCCTCTGTAGATGGAGTCTTTTGTTTGGCATACTGATGGTAATGGAGGATATTTTCAGGATCAAAGCCCTTTATAGATGCGGTTTCTTGTTTTGCATAATTATGGTAAAGGAGGACATTTTCAGGATCAAAGTCCTTAGTAGATGCGGTTTCTTGTTTTGCATAATTATGGTAAAGGAGGACATTTTCAGGATCAAAGTCCTTAGTAGATGCGGTTTCTTGTTTGGCATACTGATGGTAAAGGAGGACATTTTCAGGATCAAAGTCCTTTATAGATGCGGTTTCTTGTTTGGCATAATTATGATAATAGAGGACATTTTCAGGATCAAAGTCGTTTGTAGATGGGGTTTCTTGGTTTTGCTCTTCCAAAACCCTTGCATCACCGCAAATAAGCTGCACCAATATGAGCGCAAAAAGTAAGTGTGTCAGCAAAAGTAGAATGGATTTTAACATACTTCGTAAAATTACCAAATTTACTCTTTAGTCATTAAGTTCTGTAATTTTATGACGAAGTCCTACTCCCTTCCATTTTTATTATTGTTTTTCTATTTTTCCCCCAACTGATCATTTTTTCATTTTTATTTTTTTTTATTTTTTTTTATTTTTATTTTTGACATTTGTAGGTCGGTCCGATATTAAATATTTAGAACTGCCCCATTCGAAAGCCAGTCTGATAGGTGCAATATTGGACCACCCTATGTTTTTGACCTAACGTTGTCGATGGGATAGTCCGATATTTCAAATATCGGACTTCCCTTTTTCATATCTTTTCATTTTAGTGGTCCAAGCTTTTGAACATCGGACATTTTTTTACTACCTTTGTGTCATAAGCTCGGACTACTAGAACATAACAAACTATAAAAAATGGTGGTCTCATGTTTGTGATATGAGAGCCCTATAAAAAAGCATGGGCCAAAAATATAGGGTGGTCCAATATTGCAGTCATCGGACTACCCTACAAATAGGGTAGTTCCATATAATATACACGGACCCCCTACAAATGTCAAAAAAAAGAAGAAAAAAAAGCAATTTGATGTTTGAAAGTTTGAACCGTGGTAAAATTTGAAAATATAATAACAATCGGGGAATATGACCTCATGGTAAAATTACCGAATTTATAAATTGAAGAGTAAAATTTGGTAATTTTACCCAGTCCGTACATAAAAATCTCAAAGTAAAAAGGAAAGTACAAAATAGAACGAATGAAAAAAAAGGAAGCATCAAGGATTATAGGAATTATCAAGATACAGAAAAGATATTCCAAAAGGTAACTAAGGATTCAAAATTTTCAATTAAATGAAGGCATTAAAGCCTCATGGGCTTAAAAAATAGGCCTAAAGTGTCCAACCTCCAGCTGAAATATTTGTAGTAGCATAGCACAAAAGTGATAGAAAAGCTAAGAGATTACACCTCGCTAAAAACGTTAAGAAGGAGCAAGCTATAGAGAGAGAGTGAGGCGCACCAGCATTACAAAGAAGAAGACGGTGGTGAGAGTAGGAACTTCCATTGCTGATTCAGATGTGAAAGTCATGGAATCTTGATGCTCCTATTTATAGGTTTGAACTACTTCAATTATTGTTATTGATCATTAGTGCTCCTATTTACAATTATTGTTATTGATCATTGGTGCTCCTATTTACAATTATTGTTATTGATCATTGGTGCTCCTATTTACAGGCCGGAGGCCGTCGAAATACTTTAACTAACGTTATTGATCATTGGGCCTTTCTATCTTTTTTTTCATGTTCAAATTTTTGTTATTGGTGGTGGGCCTTTCTATTTTTTTTATTGAACTTCAAATTAATTTTATTGGTCACGGGCCTTTCTATTTGTGTTTTTATGCACCAGCCTTTGTACAGTCAAATCATGAAGACAGACCTATTCATCTGCACGCATCAAAAAAATGGATTTCATATATCAAATCTTTGGAATCCGTGATATTTGTTTTTTTTTATTTAACCAAAAAGCCCCTATTTGGCCATGTTTTCACTCTCTCTTTACTCTGTTTGACACAAAATATATCAGATCGGCACAACTTAAACACAGAGATGCCCAACATATTTTTTGTGCTAGACTGGCTCTATATTCAACTTGTGTAAATCCGATATATTTTCGTGATGGATTGGCACAAGCCAGTCCGATACATTTTTATGCTGAACATATACATGTTCGGCAACACATTTTGAAAGCATGGGTTAAAATGCCTTTATTCTTTTCTGTTTTTCTTTTGTTGGTGGGGGTTCAAAATAACTGTGACATATCAACAGTTTAACATTTTACATATATTATGTGATTTAATGTCAAAATACCCACTAAATTGTACATTATCATGATTTGAAATAATCATATATGTGTAAAGAAAAAGTTTACAAAGAGACTATTTATTTTTAATACAATGAACTCACAGTCAATCTTGTCTGTTAGATTTCAAATCGAGTGGGGTTGTGAGTGTATGATTGATAGGTCTCAAAGCTAAAAAAAAAGATTTCTTGAACTTTGTGTAACACCTCGTTCCATCAGGTTTCAAATAGCTAGTACTAATTGTGAACTCCTTATATCAAAGATAAATAGTGTCACATGGTACATCTTTCATAGTTGTCTCATTAAATTTCTCAAAATAAATAAACTTTAAAATTTTAGAAGTGACACTTTATTTAATTTTGTTAACACCATTTAATTTTAAATTTGGTTGGATCTTCATTTTCGGCCGTCCAACTTAAAGATGGGATTTCAATGGTCCCGACTGACCAAATACTTTCCCCTATAGCAAATAAGAAAGCACCATGGTTAACCAAAACCTGGATTGCTGGGGTGGATCATTCACCTACATAGGGGTCGGCGATCAGGTTGAGTCCAGATCGTTCCGAAACAATGATTCAAAATAATGTTAAAAATGAATAAAATAAAATAAAAATTACAATAAAGTTTTATAGGGTGAGGATATAAGAAAATAATAATTAAGCTTAATATATATATATATATATATTAGGGGGTTTATCCATGGCCCATACATCCCATGACCAGTTCATCTTCACCAATTCTCATCCATATAACGATTCTGATCGAAAATCGTGGGGTTGTAAAACACTGGTTTTAATCTTTATAAGTACATGCATGGCCGATGATTTTTCCTTTCAATCCACAATATTTTTCTAGTAATAATATAGCATAATTTGTGCTTTTATTTTTTATTTTCCACTTGTTGATGCTTACTTTCGACACATAATTTTTCTAGTAATAATATTAAATTGTGATGGCATACGATCGAGGCCAAATACCAAACTTAAGGTACAAATGTATGAAAATAAAATAAAAAGTACAAACCCTCGATATCGATGTAGGGCACACGGGGAAATGAATCCGAAGAGCATATGATTTTTCTTGGGATATGAGATAAGATCAGAGTGAACATGAATAAATTAGATTAGCACAAATTGCGTGTTCTCGCGAGACTGTAATGTGCGCTAACTCCCTCAAGCAAAAGCGCTACTCAAGATAATTTTCTTGATATGAAACTTATTATTATTTTCACAAAAAGAGAAGACTTTGATTTTTGAGTTTTTATTTTTTTTATTTTTTTAACACTCGAAGCAAATCACATTGTTTGGTGGCTCCATCCCTCTTAACTCTTGCGGCTACTTGCCATTCAAATATTGGGCGTCTATTATTCATAGACAGTTCGGTCATTTGATCTATTTTAAATTATTTTTATAGGTGTCTAATAGTGAGAATTATATTATCAAATTTGAGCTTAATATGATATATTAAAAAAGAGATAGAATTAAAATATACTAGTGATTGTAAAATGTGAAATGTATTAAAAATAATGCAAGATAACCTAAACTTTAAATGTTCAAACCCACAAACTTTTAACCCATGAGCATGATGCACTACAAAAATCCATCGGAAAAGGATGTTCCTACCCCAAAAGACCATCCAATTGGTATCTTTGGCCTCTACACGTTTTAATATGAAAAAAAAACACCAAAAAAAAATTCAAGTCCCGGAAATAGTTCATCTTATAACATATTACTTGAGCCGTCCATTTTCTATAATTTTTTTTTTCATAGTGTTCATAAATTGCCTGATCTCCACAAATTTTGAACCTATTTCTACAGGTCAAATTAGGTTTTTAGACTTTCGCAGGGGTTTCAAATTACTTTGATGGTTTAAAGTTGAATTCTTCATCCAAAACTAGGGAAAGTCTCCTTGTGGAAGATCGGGTACACCACCACTATCTTATCTCACCAATACACGGTTGGGGTGAACTATAGTTTTGACTCATCCCTACCGTCCGTTGAGGAGGACATATGGTGAATAGTGGGCCTCTCTATTTATGGGGCAGTGTGATGATTCAAATATCGCATTTCCCTTTCTTATATCTTTTCCTATTTTAATGGTCCAAGCTTTTGATCATCGGAACGTTATTTAACTAATATCAGACTACTAGAACACAACAAACTTTAAAAAATGGTGAGACTACTAGAACACAACAAACTTTAAAAAACGGTGATCCGATGTTTGTGATATAAGACCACCCTATAAAGAAAGATGTGCCAAAAATATAGGGTGGTCTGATGTTGTAGTTGTTGGATTGCCTTATAAAGATGGATGGGCCAAATATATCGGGTGGTCCCATATTGTAGTTATTGGATTGCGTTATAAATGGGGTGGTTCAACATATATACATCGGACCCCCGACAAATGTCATAATAAAATAAATTAATAATAATAAATTAAAATAAGTGGTTTGATGTTTGAAAGATTGAATCAAGATATAATTTTTAAAATATAATAAACAAAAAGGGCGTTGGACCTCATGGTAAAATTACCAAATCTATAAACTAAAGGACAAAATTTGATAATTTAACCCCGTCCGTACATAAAAATCTCAAAATACAAAAAAGAATGGAAAAAAAAAGAAGAGGAAGCATCAAGGCTTATAGGAATTATCAAGATATATGAAATATAATCCACATAAATGAAGGCATTATAGCCTCATGGGCCTAAAAATCGGGCTTATACCTGCGGGCTTAAAAATTAGTAGTAGCATAGCACAAAAGTGATGAAAAATCTAAGAAGAAGCAAGCTATAGGGAGGTCAGAGAGAGGCGCATCAGCATTACAAAGAAGAAGAGGGTGGTGAGAGTAGGAACTTCCATTGCTAATTCAGATATAACAGTCATGGAATCATGGTGCTCCTATTTATAGGCTAGAGGCCATTGAACTACTTCAATTATTGTTATTATGGTGCTCCTATTTATAGACTGGAGGCCATTGAAGTATTGTTATTGATCATTGGGCCTTTCTATTTTTTTATTTAAGTTCAAATTATTGTTATTGTTGATGGGCCTTTCTATTTTTTTATTTAAGTACAAATTATTGTTACTGGTGATAGGCCCTTCTATGTGTTTTTCTATGCATCAGCCTTTGTATCATCTGCACGCATCTCGAATATGGATTTCATATCAAATCTTTGGAATCCATGATATTGATCATGTGAAAAATGAAATAAACTTAAACTAAGAACTGATTTTTTTTCACAAACTTTTAACATCATTATTTTTTAATTGCGATTATATACAATGAGACTATTTATTTTTAGAATAAAGAGGTCACTATCTCTTTGAACTATTGGAAGTGAAATCCAATAGATGAAAGTGTGTCATAACATTCGACAAATTTTATTTTGAACTTTACGTCCAAACAATGACATATTTTCAACCATTCAATTTCAAATCTAATTGACGTGACATATTTATATTAAAAAGCAAATAGTCTCATTTTATACATTTCCTTTTTAATTTTGGTGTTGGACCTTCTTTTTCGTACTCAATCTTAAAGTTCCTTGACTCACCAGAAACCTTCCCAACAACAAAAAAGAATTCAACATGGTTTTAACTATTATACTGAGGGTTAACCTTTATATGCAGGATTGATAATGGGCTCAGGTTGGGCCTCAGGCTTACAGTCTTTGACTGTTTCGGGCCATAGAAGAAGGATGGTAGGCCGAGCCTAAGCTGGGCTAGGACCTCCTAATATTCTTTTTGGACCAGGCCCAAGCCAACCATGACTCGTACCAGGCTTGGCCTGAAATGTATTGTGTGTGTGTAATCCAATACTATGTAAAGGTTCTCGGCGCTAACCCAAATTTTTTTGGGACGGGCCTAGCTCAGGATCCATCATTCGGCTTAAAGCTTGGCCCTAAACTTGGCCAAAACCAAATTTCCAACCCGGAACGTGCTTCGGCCCAAATTTACCTGCCCATGGCCCTCATCGCCTAAACCACAGAGCATATGTCCAAAAGCCTTCAATTAAAATAGTTCCAAGAGAATTTATGTTTGCTTAGAGTATACAATTCCTTGGATAAAAACCCTGTCTTGAATGTTTTTGGGATTTTAAAATTTAGTGATGATTTTTACTTTTATTTTTTTTAGGTGATTCAGTGGGGAGGGTGCCCCTACCTTAGGTCATGAGATCATAGCGATCTGATCTGATGGATCACGTGAATGAT